GTCGACCCGTCACGAGCGACCAGATCCGCAAGGGGGGCGGTTCGGAGTCTTGCACAGTAGGACGAGTACTCGAGGGCTGAAGATCTTGATGGACACCCCACTGGGCAAAGGGAGACATAGATACCAGCTACTGTGCTATGCAGGGACACTCCAGCACTGCCCATCTGTAATTCGGATGTGCAAGGGCCAATACCACTCACACCACTGCATCCACCTGCCCCATGGATGCAAGAGGTGTTGCGCTGGAAGGGCGTTCCTCCGCATTGCCACTCACGGCGCGCTTCACGCGCCGTCTGGTTTGTCGTGGCTGAGCTGCTTGTCCAACCTCGCTGCATGGGTGAGAGGCAAATGACAAGGGTGGGCTACACCTCCCAGACAATATCCGTTTGGCTGTTACTCGTTCATTTGCCTACATGTCGAGGTGTAGTCATAGGGATCCTATGACTGAAATCTGCCTTCTGTCTTAAGAATTACCCCCCCACTTATACACACACACGCACCACGCACCCTTTCCCACTGTACTGATACTCACATAACGGGAACTTGTCCACCCATTATACACACACACGCACCACGCACCCTTTCCCACTGTACTGATACTCACATAACGGGAACTTGTCCACCCACTGCCCACGAAAGTGGTCAGCCAGCCCCGGCGGCACGGAGGCGTCTGTCAGCATCGCCTCCACGCGGGTCTTTGCTGTCTCCAAAGCTGCATCCTTGGCAGCCTGGCTAGAGTCCTTCCAAAGTCCAAGGACATGCTTTGCAGCTCCTTGAAGGCCGCTACAAAGTGTTGTCTATGGCCCTTCTCGAGGCGGCTGGCATTGGATGCCACAGCCTTGGTCTGGTGCAGGCTGCAGATGTGTACGGGCATCCAGTACGGAAAGCCGACCTGTGCATGAGGATGTATTGTGTGGTGTCCTCAGGGGCCATTGATCACATCAAATATGCTGCTGTCCGCACAATCAAAGCGTGCTCCCACCTGATGGCGCTGTACTCTGCCGCACTCGCATCGATGAACACACAGGAAAGCATCCAGTCTTGGCCCATCTTGTTGAAGATCACTCTCAGCCACTTCTGGATGCCCTCCACTCCCTCATGCCGCAGCAGCGCCACAGACCCGCAATGGACTCGATTCCCCGAGTCCATCGCGATCAGGAGGAAGGCTTTGAGCTGTACCGGAGGGGAGGGGCAAGGGCCTGCTGTGAGGGCAGCCTCTCCTCTGACGCAGTGGCATCCAGAGACCAGGCCATACACTGCATGGCTACCCATCCCACCACTTCCTCACATTCACACCATTAGTGCCATGCATGCTGTCGATCCACACAGGGCGGCCATGCGCACAGTCGCGCAGGACACGCTGGTGATTGTTGTTGAGCTCGATGAGCTCTGTCAGCCCCTCATTGTCATGCTCGACGACGGCAAAGTCTGAACGCCGAGCCTGGACCGCCTTCATCAGGCTTGTGGCTGCGTCTGGGTCCAGCATCCTTGGATTGGACTTCTTGGACCGGCGAATGTTCCTGCGATGGAGAGCGGATACAAGTGGGACCACGGTAAAGCACCAAGGTGCAGGTGATTGGCACCAAGGTGCAGGTGATTGGCACCGAGCAACCCTACCTTGCAGCTCACGCAATCTCCTTGTTAGTGATCGAGTAATCCCTTTGGTGCAGATTTGGGTGGTGTTGCTGGAAGGCCAAGTGGTCGGTCACATTGGTGTAGACGGCCAAACTTATCCCTGCCTTGCGCAGCTTCTCGCACTGAGGCAACGATGCCGGGATTGCGAAAGGCCGGGTTGATGGCCAGCAGAGCCTCCACGAGGTCAACAGCCCGCTGGGACAGGCGCAGACAGTGGAAAGTGGCGTCACTGTGGCCCAAATGCCCAATGTCAGGGTAGAAGACAATGCTCTTCTTGGAGTCTTGCCTCAGCTGCTTCATTGTAAATGTATGCTGGCAGCCGGTCTTCTTTGAGCGGCGGCGCATCAGGCTCGTCCGCCCTTCGCGCTGGCTGGCGCTGTTCTTCTCCAACCACTCAGGTTTGCCCGGACCACGGGCGCACCTGTAGTCCTCGACTGACAACCAGTCCTGTGCGTGTGTTGAAGAGCTGGGACCGAGTGCAGCGGAAAGGGGACGGGCTGCATGCTCATCACACGGGCCTTCCGTTGGAGGTGATTCGAATTCGAACCTGGGTTGCGGGGTGGGCCTTCCGATGGAAGGACGTTCGGAACATGCGGCCCTCGCCGTGCAGGAAGTCATAAACGCGCTCCGTAGGAATGGTTGCTCGAGTTGTGGGGGCTGCATAGATTGAACATGATGTGGGATAGTATTTTCCGGGGGGCATCAGCAGGACCCTGGCCAGATCTGCCGAAGATTGATCGAGGTTGATTGTGGTGGTGTACAACCTTGGGAGTGTGTCGCTCGGGATGCTTGAGCGCAGCACATTGTGAAGCTTGGTGTATCATTTCATTTTGGACACGTCGACCTTAGTTTGGGCGCCATGGATTCGTATTTGCAGACAGGAGTCGCGAATGTTGATCTCGACCCAGCGCGGTGCGGCTCTTATGTCGCTCTGCGCCTGCACCTTGCAGTGTCCTGCGGCCCCCCTTCGCCGCCATTCTATCCGGCTTTAATGTTTCGGCGAGTCCCGGCACGCGCTGGGGGTGTTAGAGCACAGCGTGCCTGGTCGGTCTGGTCTTGGGTGACACGGCGGCCGCTGCATGGGCGGGATCTGGCTAGGGTTGCCTTTGCCCCTCAGGAGTGTTGGCAAACCACCCACCCTTCCCGGGATAAGGTCACCTTTTTCTCACTGAAAGTGCTACCAATGGAATTCCTGCTTCAATCCCATCGCCAAGGGTGGCGTTTGAACGCTCGGTCGTCTCTCGACACCTTCGCCGAGGCATTCAGCCGCTCCTGTCATGGACAACCGCACTGATCCCGCGTGAGTGTGGTTTGGCGAATCTGTTGGGAAGGAAGCGGGGGTGCAGACCAGGCTGGGCGAGCATACCATCTCGCTCAGCGGTTGCTGCAGGCCACCCCCAAGCCATGTGGTGACTTTGGACCTCAGACAGTCCCTTCATCCCTTCTGTCGACAGGGTGGGAGGCGCTAGGCGGCTGCCAGTGCCCAAGATAGGCAATCGGCTGAAGCCCTCCAGCTGGAGGCCTACGACGAAGATTGAGATCTGGCGCCGCGACACCTACATTCCGTGTGCGGGGATCGAGTCGCAGCCGGGAGACAACTTGCGGCGCATACAGAGAAATGCGCTGGCGCTGGCTGTCACTGACTCCCTATTAAGGTATGTTGGACCATTCAGGTTGGCTGTGGTGGGGGAGGGGGTGGGGGGGTTCTGGGTATGTCTGTGGGACAGACTGTATGCTCTGCATACACTGTCCAGCTCCTTTTGGGCGTGCACGTCGATGGATCTGTCTTTGCCAACTTGTAGACCTTGTGATTGTCGTGTGGAAGGCCCTGTTCATCCTCACTACACTCTTGCCCAATGCAGCATTCCCAGCGAAGCAGCCCAGCCGGGGCGCAAGAAGCAGCGATTGCTGAGCTTTGGTGCCGTGGCGAGGGACGACGATGACGGGTTCGCCTTTACCCGGAGACCTCTCGCCTGCGCGGATCAGGTGCGTATGGCTGATGGATGGTGGGAGGTGTGGCGCCGTTCTGACCCGTGAACAATGGACAGGACGCCCTAGAGTGTGTGCCCTGGCGCATGGGGTGAATACAAGAACAAATTGATGCATTTCAGGATTGGAGTATGTCCCTCACCTCCAATGTCGCCTGCCAGTGCTGTAGGAACCTGCAGCAACCCCCGTGAAAGCGGCATTTGTTGACGGGCCGACAGTGGCTGAGATCGCTGCCACTCAGGCAGCCATCGACGCCGCGGTCAATGAACAGCCCCAGGAGAAGAGAAGCGGCGGTGGAACCTTCAGCGAGGTGCAGGAGGTGTTCACCTGCATTGTCACCACAATGAACGCCTTTTGTGGCCGCCCCGCGCCTCCAAATGGTGAGCCTTCAAGGGATCCGCTGCGGACGACCCTGCAGGACATCGTCTTCACAATGAACATCCCCCGGATCCTCGGCGGGCTGATTGCCGAGCTACATGTCCTGCGAGTTGTGGAGAAGTTTGAGCGCCGCAAGGCAGCTCACCGGGCGGACGCGGACGCGGTGCTACATCCACTGAATAGTGGCTTCTTCTACAGGTGAGCTTCTGGTTTGTTTGATCTGGAGGGAAGGGGATGATGGGGGTTGCTTCCCTGTGTTCCCCTTGCAGAGATGGGGAGTTTGTTTCGCATGTTGTCGGGTCTGCAGAGTCTGCATGTCCAGGTGGTCGAAGGAAGAGGGTTTGCATGCCGACCTGTGAGATGTGCGGGTGTGAAGTGCTGTCACCGACATACTTTGACTATTCTTCTCAATCCAATCACCTTGCAGATGTATGAAGGCGGTGAAGGGATTGAACCCAAAGCCCTGCGCGCAAGGGAATACAGAGACCAAAGACGCCTACCCCTTTCTTCTGGAGACGGAGGCCATCTTCCGGCGGGCCTGTGAGGAGGAGGGAGTCTCCTTCCTGCACCTGGACCTCGAGTACCTCGACCGCTTCATGCACGAGGCGGCCAGCGACCTGGAGACCGCCACCAAGACCTAGTACCAGCGGGAGTTTCTCCGCCAGTTGCATCAGAATGCCCAGGTGGAGCTGGAGTGCGGCAGGAAGCGGGCGTGCAGCTGCGCCCGCGCCGTGCTGGCGCTGAAGTTTGAGCGCCGACAAGCCGCCGCGGCCCAGGCCACCAGCAGCGCTGCAGCTCTGTCCCAGGGCGATGCCGCCGACCCACCGCCTCCAGCCACCAGCGGCGACGCAGCCGCGGCGCCTGCCCAGGACATGGGCGTTGAGGCATCATCCTCAGGCGTAGACGCCAGCGGCAACATAACCACGGTGCCTGGCTCAGACTGTGCTGCCGACCCGCCGCCTCCAGCCCCGGCCACCAGCGGCGACGCAGCCGCTGTTCTGGGTGGTGCCGCCTGGAGGCCCCTCCACAACTTCACCGAGAAGGAAGTCGAGTGGATCGAGGAGATGCGAGCGTGCATGCCGCCGCGGCCGAGGAGAGGGACGTGGGAATCCTGCCCCCACCGGTGCCTCCCGCTGGCGAAGTGGCTCCTCGCGCGCCGCGAGGGTAAACTGCCGGCAGCGCAGGCTCCCGAGAGCGCGTCACAGGAGACAGCCGAGCCGGTGCAGGTGGACACATCCCAGACCGTGAGTAATGAGGGATGCTGGGAATGTATGAGAGAATGTACAGAGTGGGTTTGGGTGGCTGCTAGCATCTTGCAGCTTTACGAGACTGGGCAGGCTGCTCTTGTATGGTTGGTGAATGACTTTTCATCCAGAAATCCACCATCCCAACCCCCTCCAAACGCACAGGTTGGTGATGATGTAGCGTCCATCACCCACACAGATCCCCGCGAGCTGGAGAACAGCAACTGACAGGGCGAGCGCACCGCCGCCGCCGCCACCATCACCACCACCGCCGCCGCCGCCACCACCACCACCACCACTGCCACCACTTCCACCACCAAGAAACGGCGGGGTCTCGGGAAGAAGCGGCAGGCGGCAGCGAAAAAGCGCCTTGACGCAGCCAGGCGAGCCGCAGACGGCGACCCTGCAGCTGGGCCCCAGACGTCGCCGCCTCAGCAGCAGCAGCAGCGCCATGTCGGTCGGCTGTTTGGCCTGCTGCCCATCCGACAGGGCTACGAAGCCGTCTTTGTCACCGAGACGCTGACGGCTCTGGGAAACCTCCTTTGGCGCCACCAGAAAGTCACTGGCAGCATGTTGGAGCTCACCGGGATGAAGTCGCCTCCCACATCAGTGCGGGGTGTACACCCGACGGCAGAGGTTAGGACTGTTGCTACTCTGTGCTGGAGAGGGAGTACTTGTGTCACAGGGAGTACGTGTCGCCATTTCAGCATGGTCTGTGGTCTCGTAGGGAGGAGTGACCAACATGAACACCTTGCCCCCTGATTTGTGAGCAACCTTGCCGCGGGGCTGTGATGTGGCTCGAAATGGAGGCTGCCCGACCATCTCTCTCACCAAAACCCACACCCCTTTCCAATGCCAGGTGCTGAAAGCACTTGACCTGGACAACAGCCGGCTCGACGACGATAATGAGAAGGCTGCCATCAAGGACTGTCTTCTCGAAAAGTCCGTGTGGCGACCTGGCAAGGGCCACTGCGTACAGATCGGCTGGGCGTTTTCGCCCGCCTCTTCAACTACCGTCGCTTTGAGCACGGTGGCTGGACCTCCAGTGGCCACTGGCGCACGGACGCGTACACTGCCTGTGTCACCCTGCGGCGCCCACAGTACCCCCTCCGTGCCGGCGATTCCCCGCCCCCTCTGCCCAAGGCTGCGCAGGAGTGGGGCAAGCGCGACTGCACCCGGGCGCCCTTGGGCGCTCCGGTGCACCAAGGCAGAGATATTGCCGACGAATTCTACCAGTGAGCGGAGCGTGTCTGCATGGGATGCACGTGACTGTTCTGGGCGTGCCTGCCTCCTTGATAGTGTGTACCTGCATCCTTAAGGCATGTGTCAAGAGGCTTGGAGTGCTTGCTGGGGCGCTGGAGTCCGTCATCAGATTCCTTCCTCAGGATACATACCCTCCAGTTTCATCCCCCTCTG